TAAAGAAGCGAATATACGAAATACGTATTAAGAATTCCTTACAAATATTTTAAAGGAATTATTATCCTGCCTTCAATAATCTGGCGTGATAAAAAATCAATTAATTGACTAAACACAATTTAGTACGCACATCTTCTGGCCGCATCCCTCAAGAAAAATTCTGGAAGCTCCCATGAGGCTTCTTTTTATTAATGTTTACGTAGGCTGCGGAATAGTCCGGAGAGCTCAGTCGGCAAAACTGCGGGCTGCGGAGATCGGTTTTATGCACACTTGTATTTATGTAATAAAGTTAAGTAACTTTTCCGAATAAGAAAATCTCTTCGTACCGTCAACGCCAATCCTTTTTGAAATTTGCATTTTGAAAATGACTTCATGCTTACTGGCTCCTGTATGATGTCGAAGACATAGTGTTGTGCCCTGATAGGGGGCATGGACTGTACTCACCCCTTATCGGACGTCCGTGGATATCTCTTAACCTACGTTGTGGGAAGCATGCTTCACTGGGAGGGTCACAAAAACTCGAGTTGTCCAAACAACAACAAAAATGAAATATATATAATAAAACTGAAACACTTATACACCTTTACCGTCTAAAACACATTAAACCACCAAAATAATGTAACCCAAAAGTTCTACTAAGCCATTAGTGACCCGACCACAGACAAGTACTCACCCGCGCTAAACATGAAGCACAGGAAGAACAATGGCGCCATCCCAAGGTCTTTCGCAGGCACACTTTGCTCTACTCGTTCGTTTCTGGCGACTGCTAGAAACAGAGTGCCTGAAACGGCCTCTTTTCTCAATCCCAATATTCAGCTTTTTTTCAATTGCGAAAGCTGCGCGTGCGAAATCCCTGAGGTCGGCATCTTGCCGGACATGCCTTGTCGCGCTAAGCGAAACCTGACCGGGTCTTTCCGCTGATGCTTAACAGTCTTTTCTGAAAACAATTCGATGGACTGCCAAGGAATGCGAAGAGTCAGCCGCGGTCCTGTCTCCTTGCCTTCCGGCCAGCCGTCTAACATTTCAACCTAAACACACAATCTTACAAAAATTATCCCTAATAACTAATGAAATGGGCTCAACAATAGGTAAGAGAGCTGATCTGGAAGTATAACAATAATTACAAAAATGTATTGCAACCCAGATTATTTAGTTAAAAAAATATGCCATGAAACGTATGGATTCGTGGAGCTACAGGACCACATGACAAGAAATGCTTCCTCGCTTCATCTCGCTTGCTGTATTCTATACACACGACAGGATGAACGATGGATGAGACAGAAAGTTCCCTCCAACTGATTCAACTAATGTTCCGAGCAATACTTGATATGGAGGGGTGTTCTTAGACAGGATTCTCGCAGTTGCATGGCTGAGTGCCTCACTTTTCCTTCATTACAGTGGTGGATGAAAATTTTCATTACAAGTTGTTCCTTGGACTATTACAGGGACGCAAGCGCTCCAGGAGCAGTCGGCGTGCTCCGTGCCTTCCCATTTTGCACATTCGAACTCCCGATTTCAGTGGCATTCTGCCCAAAATTGACTGTTGGAGAATGGAGTCGGAATTTCGAGGCGAAGACTCTGAGGTGAGTGGTGCTGTGTCATGTAGCCTTCAGATATAGGGAAGAAATCTGGCTGGTATCGCCTATGCATGTTTCTTGCTTTTGTCTTGAAAATGTTTGATTTATATAATTCTCAACTGTCGGTTGTCTCCCAGTTCGGAGTATGTCGTGTTTACAGGAGTTAAGAATACTTCTTAAAATGCGCTGTGCGCGTAAGGCTGACAACCTTACCGCCATCTTTGAGCCGACTGTCAAGGTAATGTGGGACTCTTAACGTCTCACAACCCTATGGGCCTTCACGGCCTGTTACAGGGGTAGCTTTACTTTTACTTACTTTACATTTCTGTTTTGGTTTCCCTTATTGCCAATTTCTGTTTAAGTTCTGAGCCTATCAGTTAATATCACTGTCATGCCTTGCAAACTTGGGTCTACAGAATTCACACCTACTTCTGTGTTATCTACTTTTTCTATGAAGTTGTGGTTGATATGAATATGTGTGTGTGTGTGCGTGTGTGCGTGTGTGATTTTGGTACTTCATACACACCATTCACTCTTCCTTTCTATTAATATAATATTATTAATAGAAGATATTTTTCTTGGTAATATAGACATATTTCTGCTCATATCTTGAGTACAAGAATATATAATAGAGCAGAAACCCCCATGTTTTTTTATTGCTAGTGGAGTGAGACTTAAGTCCCTTGCACTGCGGCCACTTCTGGTCTGTTTTACTCGGCCCAGATGATAGGTGACGGTGATTGTGGAGCAATTGGTGGAATGAAGTTTGACAGGGGAAACCGAAGTACTCTGAGAAAACCTGCCCCAGCGCCACTTTGTCCACCACAAATCCCTCATGATGAGAGCCGGGATCGAACCCGGGCCGCCGCGGTGGGAAGTCAGCGACTAACCGCTTGAGCTATGTCTATGCTACCATTCAGTCCAGAATCTTCTTTCTTCCCGTCTATTGTCTAAAAACTTAAAAAATTTAATATAGAAAACTTTAATTTTGCCTGTTGTTCTGTATGGTGTCAAACTTTGTCTCTGATATTAAGGGAGGAAAGTAGACTGTGGATGTTTGAAAACAGGGTGCTGAAGAGAATATATGGACCAAAGTGAGATGAAGTGACAGGAGGTTGGAAAAGACTGCATAATGAGGAGCTTCATAATTTGTACTTTTCACCAAGTGTAATTAGAATGATGATGTCAAGGAGAATGAGATAGATAGGACATGTAGCACGAATGGGGAGAAGAGGAATGCATATAGGATATTGGTGGGAAAGACAGAAACAAAGGAACCAATATAAACACCAAGACGTAGATGTGGGATTTCGAGTCGCAGTGGGGGCAAGAATTTTCCTTCCTCCATGTTGTCCAGGCTGGCTCTGGGTCTACACAAACTCCTATCCAATGGCTAGCCGGGGTGCACTTTCCCCAGAGGTAACGCGGCAGGAGCGTGAAGCTGACCACTCATCTCCAACTAGTGCCGAGGTCAAGATAATGTGGATCTATACATCCACTCCCCCATATGCATTCACGGAGTAGTTCTTAATTAGTTAAGCGCAGGGACAACTTTACGTGAGCAAAACGATATTTACATTAAAAAAGGAAGTCTTGGAACCATGGTGGGTGCGAAACATCGACGTTCTTGCAGAGATCTATTTAGGAGGTTAAAGAGATCCGACTTCTACTGTGCGAATATTCCATTAATAGAATTCATTATTAATATTCAAAGATGTTATCAGACTGTTTCAGCTGTTCGGGGCACTAACGCAAGGATCACGCTCCACTTTCTGAGACCAATGGTAACACCTAGACCCCACCTCCGTCTCATACGTGTGCCATTAGAGTAGACGCCAGTTGCTGTATAGGCGTTCGAAATATTTCGTCGTCAGTCTGTTAGGAGGACTCCGTTGAAAACGCTCTGTTATCCTATACCGGTGTTCTGTACATTTTCACGCAAACGATGAACACTGTTCAATATACAGGTAGCTTACTGTGCAAATGTATCTGATAACTGATTTAAAGTGTTTTTTTTTCAGGTTCCTGTTCCAGATGACAAATTACCAACAAGGAATGAGGAGGACACTTCCCCTAATCGAATGCCCCAGAGTCAAGGGAAAGGTAAGTAATTTGGTAAGATAATGATATATTGCTAACAATACTTACGTTAGAATAGTAAATTTCATTTGTTAAGAAATCAATAAATACATCGATTTCCAGGAACTGTACGTCGCAACCTTTCTTTCACTATATTTTAAATGTTTCTTCTGTCGCGAACCGCACGGAAAACACCGCGGGAATAAGTTATCCCAGCCGATGTGTAGAAAGGGCGGTCTTTTCGGGCTCCAATATTCCTGACTGTTAGGAGGGTGAGGGTAGAGACTGCAATGTTACCTCAAAAGTCTCCTTTTGTTTTACAAATGTAAGGAAATCAGACCAACAAGGATGAACGTGTAAAATAGATCCGAGGTAAGATGGCGCCTTCTCTAAACAGTCAGCATCATATGCACCGCGCCCGTCGCCACGGCTCAGTCGTCTCCATTAGGAATTCTGTTGCATTACATTACTCAAAACCCTGAAAACTGTTCAGTCTCCCAGGGCTTGATTGGCTCTCGAGTACACACACACATCAATGACTGCTGTGCTAATCAGATATGATTTGACCAATGCACGAAGAAGATTTTCATATTGGTGTAATATTGCAGTAGCGCCTCTGTGGTCTAGTGGTCAGAGTTTCTGGCTACAGATCCAGAGTTTCCGGGTTCGATTCCCGGGGCTAGCAGAATTTCTGAGAAGTAGTGGTTCTGGAACGGGGCCTACTCAGCCTAGTGAGGATAATTGAAGACCCATTTCAAGTAAATGGCGGCTCCGGTCTAGGAACCCGATATTAACGGCCATGGGGAATCGTCGCGCTAACTTCGCCGACAAGCGGCGGTCGCTCAGTCGGAAGAGTTCGCTTGCGGAATACAGGCCACGGAGTTTGTAATACTGCAGTTCTTTCGGGAAAGAAATAATGTTACGGCCAATATGTCAAATTGAAAGTCCAACGACGTTTCTGATGTATATTGACAATGCAGAGAATGCAAAGGAGTTACACACAAGTGACATATGTAGTTTTCGTGAATGTCATTTAGGCCTTGGGGCTGACAAGGCACGAATTTCCCATGGGTCTTTAAAAAATGAATTCAAATAAAAAGCTTAATATACCATATATTAGGAAATCTATAGGAAGTATTCTTAAGAAATAAGTATTCTGTTCTGAATTATCTAATATTATCCAAGAAAAGAGAACTCTAAATTACTTAATTAGGAGTGAGTACTCAAGTTTTGCTGACTTCTCCCCTTCTGCAAATTTCTGACAGCGCCCATGATGATTCTGTTCATGTATTAATATTTAAGTAGGCTGCGGGAAAGTCCGGATAGCTCAGTCGGCATAACAACGGGCTGCAGACATTCGGTTTTATATACTCCTATAATTACGTAATAAAGTCGAGTTTTCCATCAGAATGGAAAAATTTATACTGCCCTGTAAAATGTCGGACACAGTTTTAGATAAGCGGATCTAGAAATATAATAATTAAAAATACAAATCTTTTGATGCTGAGGCTATGTGATTATTATATGTGCCATGAAGAAATATTGGATAGTAGAGACATAGCTCCACGTGTCTTGACCTCGGCTCTAGTAGAAAGTGGCTGATAGACGCCCGTTCTGCTTTACCCCCGCCGACAGTGTCTTCATAAGACTGTTTATAGGAGGCTGCGTGTGCCCGTTTCGACGCAGTGGGGATGACACAGATTTTGCACTGACGGGTTCGAATCCGCCCGTCCAGCACTCATGCGTTCTCTGCACTAGAGGTCCTATCCTGACTCCTACTTCCAGGGAGCTCAGCACTTCCTGAGAAGTCGCCAGTTTTACAGTTACTAAAAAAGTTTTAAAAATATTATTGACCCCAAACATTCATTTCCTCATTAGACATTTTTCTCTAGCCTCCTTTTACTTAAACCCACTTCCTTCCGAATATTCTACTCAGCAAACGGTTATTAAAGATTGTTAGTTTTGAACCTCCTTTAATGGCGGAAGCCAAATTTAACAACGATACAAAAAATCAGGAAATATTAAATTTTCGTCTATTCAAATTTATAAAATATTGACTGCGGACGAGAAGACGTAATGTTCCAAACGGAATGCTAGCAAGCATTTGCCGGTTTGACTCCTTACTCTTTCTCCCAGATATCTGAACTTTGCCACAGTTTGAAAGGATATGTTGGCTGACTTTACAACAAGATTCTGCCCTGAATGTTGGTGATGAGGTATCCGCATATACTCAGATTTCTCGGCTTTTTTTTTCTTCCCAACTTCTTAACTAGTGTCAATTAGACTTTCTTTGTCTTCTTTGTTGTATTTTTGTTGCCTCCAAATACATTAAATTGTCAGCATAGTTGTGTAGCTGATGTGCCTTGTTTCATTTCAGTTCCTGGATCTTCACATTGGCATAAACTGAAGCCAAATTGAAAAGCAATGGCGCTGCCACGGTCACTACTTTATTCTGGAAGTTCATTTGAAAATGAATCTCCCAATTGCAGGGCTTAGAGAGTGAAGCGCCCTTCAGTATAGCGAGCAATGAAATATAAACACTAATAGGTGCTTTGCTCTGTTGCAGAGACTCCGCTGAAGGAGCTCCCAGTGACAGTTACTGCGGCAACGGTTACTATGAGTCAGCCACTGGAGCCAGTGTCTCGGAGCGAAAAGAGAAACCAGACTCTTGAGGGCAGAGTGGAATATCCCATCCACGTTCCCCACTACGCTACCAATGTGACGAGGGCCATAACACCGGAGGGGGCACCGAAAATCACTCCGGTGAAGGAGCTCCCAGTGACAGTTACTCCGGCAACGGTTACTATGAGTCAGCCACTGGAGCCAGTGTCTCGGAGCGAAAAGAGAAACCAGACTCTTGAGGGCAGAGTGGAATATCCCATCCACGTTCCCCACTACGCTACCAATGTGACGAGGGCCATAACACCGGAGGGGGCACCGAAAATCACTCCGGTGAAGGAGCTCCCAGTGACAGTTACTCCGGCAACGGTTACTATGAGTCAGCCACTGAAGCCAGTGTCTCGGAGCGAAAAGAGAAACCAGACTCTTGAGGGCAGAGTGGAATATCCCATCCACGTTCCCCACTACGGTACCAATGTGACGAGGGCCATAACACCGGAGGCGGCACTGAAAATCGGCCGCGAATACGAGAAGGTAATTATTTTGTGTTGCATGTGTCAGTGACTGAAGGAGAACGCAACGTATTTCTGAACTGAAAACTGCAATATATTTGCTTTAATTCGGTAGTATTAATATCAATTTAAATTTAAAATTTTGAGCTTGAATATTAGCACAGAAAATATTGGAGAGAAAAACTTCCCATTTCTCATTGCAACATTATACACATAATGTTTTCCTTTTCAATCCTTTTTGACAGATTCTCAACAGCCTTTATTTCCTATTGGTGCTTGTAAGTTCGGTTCATCTATCTGGCTAGTTTCAGGACCTCCTCAGTACAGTATTCTTGGCGTCAAAATAATAATTGGTTCTTAAAGCTCCGAGGAAAAAAATGCTACTTCAATAAGATTGCCTTTTTAGAATGTTTTGGTGCAATACGTCGTAGATTCTCGGGTAAGGAACGTTTTGTGCCTCATATAACTGAATAAAAATCCGGATCCAGAGTACTATAACAGAGAAGTTAAACGGTTAATGGTAAATGTGGTGACGGTGTACAATAAGAGGAAAAATTTGGAGAACACTACCAAGAGGAGTGAAACGTTTATCTAAGAAGTTACTGGTAGCAAAAAGGAAGGTTCAGGAGGCTTTCTTACGTTCGATCATAATAAACGAGAGTAATTGCTGGGCACAGCAAATTAAAAGGCGCAAATGAAGTAGAGAAAATTTCCCGGCGATCAAATGCTATAATGACAATCCCAACCCAGATCCAATAGAAAAGGCTAACTCCTTAAATTCTTATTGTGTGTCTGTATTCAGTTGTGAGCGAAACGATCCACAAATCCAATGAGCGGATTCAGGAAATCCCTTCAATATAAATATCACAAGGAAGCGATTATCAGCAATTGGGAGACAGAAATCCGTCGGGCCAGATGGTATTGCGGGGGTGATTCTGAAGTTGGGTGTGGAAGCCATGATTCCGCACCTTGCGAGATGCTGGACATAAAAATGAACAACAGGTCTATCCCAGGGGACTGGAAAAGGGCTATAGTGGTCCCTATTTACAGTGGGAAAGACCGATCAATTTAACATCAGTGATTTGCAAACAAATGGGGCATGTTATCTAAGTCGAATCTGGGAAAAGAATGAATGGCTGTAGGAAGATCGACTGACGTATTATTTTGGGAATCAATTAATTAAGGAGGTAAATAGTTTTAAGTACCTAGGAATAATCATACGCAGCTATCTAAGATGGGCAAATCATGTAAACTATATACTACGAAAAGTATGGAAGGCTCTTCATTTAATAATGCGTATGCTGAAATAGGGCAATAATAAAACATAGCTTATACATCACTAGTGAGACCGATATNTGTAGGAAGATCGACTGACGTATTATTTTGGGAATCAATTAATTAAGGAGGTAAATAGTTTTAAGTACCTAGGAATAATCATACGCAGCTATCTAAGATGGGCAAATCATGTAAACTATATACTACGAAAAGTATGGAAGGCTCTTCATTTAATAATGCGTATGCTGAAATAGGGCAATAATAAAACATAGCTTATACATCACTAGTGAGACCGATATTTGAATATGGTTCGGTATGTTGCGACCCAAACCGAGAATGTCAGGTTACCTCTTTAAATCGGGTACAAGGAAGAGCATTGCCGGTGTTGCCCCTTTAGAATAGACCTGTGTAATATGTAAATAAATTCTTCATGTATATAACAGTGAAAAGTGTATAATAGTGTATAGTGCATAGTGCATAGTGCATAATAGTCTGCCCTTCGGCACTTAAAACTTAACATCGGATGTGTGAACATCATCGAGATTAAACCGCCAACACTATGCTACACAATGAGGTAAGAAATTATTTCCTTTTGAGAATGCCTGTACTGCATTCCCCTCCACACTTGTCAGCATGCTGGAGCTCTCCCCACCACTACCAATACTTCTCCTACTCCGCACCGGAGGACTGTCACTTCTAAATACCCGGGCTATACTCAAATTATGTACATAGACAGAACTTTCAAAATATGCCACTTCTGTTGATGTCTGTTGTTATCTTCACTATTTTCTAGTTTCATGGCAATGAACCTAAGGGTTGCCTCATCCAGACGTGCCAGTATTATCACTTTGATGATATGAATTTCTGTTATGTTACAGATAAGTGGAAATCAACATAAGAATGTGTGGGAAAAGGAACAGGTAGATCTTCAATGTGAGAGAATGAGACAAGAACTCGCCAGGAAAGAAAAAGAACTAGAACTATTCATGATTGAGAGAGAAAAAATAAGGAGACTGAGAAATACTTTCGCGGTAAGGAACATTTCAATATATAAAGTAGGTTTAGCGCTAACTTCAGGGGAACTACATACAACCTCTGATTTCTTCATCAATATATATTGCTGATTGTCCTTATGACATAACCTTATCTTTAACACAGTTGACTTGAGGTGTTAATATTTGCAATTCCAGCATACAAGTCAGCATCTAAATCTATCATGATCTAATGCAGTTTCACCATATGGATCTCATACCTTCAAACGTGTTTCCTTCTTGTCTCTTTATGCGATGAACTCACTAGTGTGTCTTTCTGTCAGCATGAAGGGATGGGATTCAGTCCGTGGATATATAAAGGTTTTGAATTCCCATAGTCCAAATGGTGTTTCTGAATCATACATTCGGCCACTTCAATTCTGAGTTTAAGTAATTTCACAGTACTCAATTCTCACAATAGACGAAACAGGAGTTCCGAATTATGAACGAAACATTGGGAAAATAACTTGTTAGTACTTTCATCAGTGACAGAACTATTCTGGACAAAAGAGAATAGTCTCCATAACACCTATGGGGTACAGTGCCTCTGCCAAAAATTGCTGCAACAAGTGTACCCAATCTTGGACTTAAAAAGCAGTTTGTATTTTATCCTGAATATAACCTTTATCAGGGGAAGTGGCCAGATCATATTCAGATTAGCATCAGGCCATGTGCGTGATGCAAGTGTACTGTCACCGACATTCAGGAACCATTTTAGAAGCATAAAACAGCAGAAAGATAACACTCTCCTAAGGAAAGGCATAGATAAATTGTGATTCTTGTTCTAATACTCCTTGATTATTTGCTTCCCCACATTTTGTTACAGAATAATTAGTGCAAAACCACAAAAATCTCTAATGCCTGTAGGGTGCCAGTCTTTGTACCTTGACTTTTGTAAATGAATACTTAAAATAGCAGGGAACAGGATGCATTAGAACTTGAAGTCTCACATTTTCGAATGTCAAAACTGATCTATGAAACTAAGCAGTTACCATAGAAGACAGCCAAATTGATACTACCATAAGAATCTCAAACTCTATATTTAACGGTGGTAACCATTTATATGGTGTGCACCTAGAAGAACACAATCTCGATACTGATTCCAATTTGAACCATAAATCTTCTGTATGATATTACTGATTATTGCATATAAGTATGTATGTATAAAAAATATGAAAGAAAATATTATATTGGTGGTATTACAGCCCGTAATATGACCAGATTTATCACAAAATCACAGGAATTTTTGTTGGGAGCAGCAGGAATACCAGTTCATGGAGTGCCCTGTTATTATGTACATAGACAGATCATTCAAAATATGCAACTTCTCTTGATGTCTCTTGTTACCTTCGCTATTTTCATCCATAGGCAATCATTCCAACGTTATATTAGGATCTTGTGACACTATTACATCTCCACATATTTCTCTCATCTTCCCGTTGTCTTTGGGGGTTATTTTGAAGAGGAAATTTTGTTTAGCCTTTTCTGTCCATTTTTTCACATGGTCTAACAAGCTCTTTTCAATGTTATATTTTAGCGTCCTGTTGCACTGATTTATGTCCATGATTTATTCTGACCGTCTTACAGTGCATACATTTATTCACCTTACTCTTCTCTCTTGCACTACATGTTTCAGCACTAAAGTGCCATCTTCAGGTGCTTTTCTATGTACGTCGAACTACTTCATTGCATGCCCTGTTGTCCTTATACTAAAATGACTAAAATATATATTCATCATATATAATGATAAATTTTAAATATTAAAACTGTTCAGGATTTGTCATCCTTATGTCGTATCTCAATACGCGAGTCACACCTATCTTCTTCTATCGGAGTATTCTTCCTACTTTCATGTGTGTATTGTGCTTTGTGTTGTGTCTTGCTCCTGTGACTGCGTGTGTTATACTGTTATACTGTGTGTTATAATGTATGCACTGTAAGGCGGTCAGAATAAATCATGGACAAGCTCTTTTCATATAATTCTATGTGCTGTCAGTCCAATTTTTATGGTCTAATAATTGTCTTACGACTCGTTTCCTCATTCGGGAGCCACTGTTGTCTATAATCCAGGATTCAATACATAGCACAAAGCTACCTTACAAGTAATATTATATATTCGTAATTTTGTCTCTGTCTTCATGCCAAGTTCTTCAAAGACGTGTGCACATGCTGAATCAGTAACAAATTTCTGTGGGTACGTAACCCAAGGGCCATTCTTTGGTTGTTCTGATTGTCAAGTATCCAGGTTTCCATTAATAACAATTATGGGTTCTGCATTGGATGATTAGATTTATTGACACTTTCTTGTAGACTCTCTTAATTACAATCATTACAACAGTTCACAATCAATATACTGCCGAAGACTCATTCCATTCTTGTTCTTCTGTCTCAATTCTGTTACAACTTCTGAACTGCTGAACTGCCTGCTGAATAAAAATTACCATTTCCAACAGTTCCACTATTTTTGTGTGCTTATTTGTTGCTGTGGAGACGTTTCTAATGACTCATTGTCCAGCAACGGATGTCCTTTTACTGTTGAGGGCATAAACTGGGAATTGTGTTTACAGAGACGTTGCCTAGCAATTTCCATTTATGTCACATCATTATTTTTATTATTGCTAGTGGGGTGGGACTAAGTCCCTTGTACTGCGGCCACTTCTGGCCTATTGTACCATTATTATTATTAGTAGTATTAGTATTATATTTTTAACAGTTTTTCTTTAATTTATATTATTAAATCTCTTTATATCACATTTAATAACATTTATGGGTCTTGTCCAGATTCTTAATATGTACTAAGCATACATTATGTTGGTGTTCAAATCAAGGAGAATGATGTGGCTGAGATATATATATATATATATATTTTGTTTAATCAGCAATCAGAGTATACATTCTATAAGCTGATGTTATGGGTGTTTAGATGACATGATGAGGAGGCGTCCAGCGGCGAATCTTCAGTAATTCAAATCAGGTCAATTTAAAATTTTCGTTTCAGTCGTCAGTTGTCTTCTCTTGTCGATAGCGTCTTTAGGAGTGGATTTTTGTGAGTTATGATTTTGTTGTGATGTCTGTTGCTTTTTTGTTGGATGACGTCTTGTACGGGAGATATACCGAGACCGGTGTGGAGAGTTGCGTTGGAGACATACCGTGGTGCGTCGACTGTCATTTGTAGGATCTTAGATTGACTTCTTTGGATTATTGTTGTGTTGGATTTGCTGGCGCAGCCCCATAGTTCCAGGCCGTACGTCCAAATAGGAATGATTATAGTCTTGTAGATCAGAATTTTATTTTCGACTGTTATCTTTGATTTCCTGCCTATTAGGCAGTTTAGCTGTTGAATGGTTGGGTCTACTTCTTTTCGTTTCTTGACTATATGCTGCGTCCATGTTAGTTTGTTGTCTATAGTCATACATAGGTATTTTATTTCTGTTTTGCATGGTATTTGGATATTATTGATGACTATGTCAGGTGTCGGCTTTTTTCGTAGGATGAAAGTTATGTAGCAAGTCTTGTGTTCATTTATTCTGATGCTCCACTTCTCGAACCAATTGGCTGGGATATGTACATGGATATATGGTATAAGTACTTAGAAAATCTGAACTCATAATTCTTGCAATAAAAACGTAAATAACATTTTAATTTATACAAAGCAAAAGTAAGAATAAAATCCTTGATTAATTAATATTTGAAAATTCATCACGTGACTGCTAATTGTGGCAATCTGCTTCCAAGAAATTGTCGAAGTCCATTATAATCCTCCATAAAATCAGCTCAATATAAGCAATTGTGTCCTCAAAGCTGCATTGTTCAGAAAAACACCGCTGGGTATTTCTCTTCATGAGATAATTAACCATAGACTTCAGTGAACAGGCGGTGTGGAAGTTCATATTAGTGAGGAAACATCACGAATATTTCAATGACAATGCCATTAATGATGCACAGGACACGGAGGTCATTCTTCAATCCATGACCCCCAAGGATGGTTCAGCATTAAGAAAGCGGAATAAATCATTCAGAACCCCCCATCAGGATTTTGTATTTTGTGGCATGCCTACTGAGATCACGTGCAATGATTCCTAAGACCCTAGAGTTATAAAGACTAATGTAGTTCTCTTGCCTCAGGAGACATCTATTACTAGGCAACTGCTCAGTAAACACATTCCCACTGGAACATATCCGCAAGCAACAATTGAATAACTTTCATTACCATGCAAAAGCACCATAAACACACCTTCTCAACAATAGAGAGAATGTGTTTTCTTCATGGTCTGTGGTGAAGGGTTAAAAGAGATGAAGATCGTTTATGTCAGTTAAATTTTGGGACACTAGACTGCCAGGATGTGAACTTGGAGGTGGAGGAATTGTAATTGTGTGGAGTTCCAAATTTGGCAGTTCCAGCAGGGAACTGACAGTCGGCAGGAGAAGGTGATTGTCATTGCAGTGCATATGAACTCTTCTTTGTACACAGCCTAATTACTCTCTTGTCATTTCTTCTTAATTAGACTGTGTACAAAGAAGAGTTCACATGTACTGCAATGACAGACCTTTATAAATTAGTTACCAGGATAAGACTAGTGAAGACTGAGAACCCTAGTGTGTGCATGTAACAGTAAACTGTAAAGTTTTTACATCAATGATAGTGCTGTATTACCTGTAGTCCCGAGTTGAATATGTAAGGTGTCAATAAATCCAAACATCCAATCCAAATCCCTTCTAACTCACAAACAACTCTCTAACACATGACAACATAATAACGTAGGAACACTGAAAGGACTGTGTTGGTTAGATTCAGCTCGGCATGCTGCCGTAGTGAAGGGGAATTAGTCATGTGGCCCCGGTTACTCTTCCCTTCTATTGAATTGGCCGACTGCCTAGCCCTGGCTTCACTCATGCTCATTTTGACTGCCGAGAATCTATTCTGATTTGCCAATGGTGACGCATGATATCAACAAGCATGGTTCTTCTTCTGACGATGTACTATTTTTCCTATCTTCATACTCACTCGGCTGCTCATTGCTATCCTGCCTTGTTTTGGGTTCATTTCATACAAAGTTTCTCAAGCTGCACAACTCGCTTCTAATTTTGTTGCACATTGCAAACAATGCACTGGGACTCCATATAGTTTTTCTACCAAAGTATTTGATAACAATGACCTGGATTTCAGGAGACATGTGATGATGTTGTCATTTTGCGTTATATTGGTGATATTACAACAAACATGACACACACAGGAACTTGTGGTGGGAGCAGCATTATAGGGCCCTAAAACTGCTTACAGAAACAGAGCTTTCAAAAAATACAACTTCTTTTAATGTGGTCTCTGCTTTTACATTGCTATAACATTTTATCTTTATTGTTTTTAGTTATATGACAATGAACCTCAGGATTGCTGCCTCCACATGTCAATGTAGTTCTGCCAGTAGTATGAATTTACTTAATAGACCAAAATCTGGAGACAAAGACGAGATACTGAGTGGCACATTGACATGTCGCGTTGTTCAGATGAAATCGTGAAATCTGCCTCGTAGCTTCACGAACCTCCCTTTCTTGTACTCTCCCCACCATAATACTCTGCATCTGTGATGTTCTCTTTCAAAGGCATAGTGTAGCGTACTATAGATGAAGGATATCCATGGAGATGTTTCATATTCATGTGTGGATATCACAGCTCATTTCTGCTTTAGTGACTGCATCCAGTGTCTCACTTATCATAAGCTACTTATTCTTTTTTTCCGTCACTGATTCACTTTTTAAAATTTCTGAATAATTCACAAGAAATTATGTAGATTAATATACTTCTTTAATTATACCGCTATCAGTTTGCACCACACACATGTTGATGCAGCCTCCTGGACAAATTACAGCCCTCAAGTTCACATAAAACAGTAATTGTTTGGACTGAATTTCTAAGCACTGAATGCAGGTAAACCCTAAAGTAAGAAACAGAAAATTGGGACATTTTATGAATTGAGTGTGTCTCACTTTTCCCAGCACTTCCAAAATATTAAAGTATTAAATGGAGAAAACTCTTATCTGAACCACACAGAACACACAATATTGTTTTACCATGTATGTTTTACAAATTAAAACGTTCTGTGCTTATATGTCTCTAGATCTCAGAAGAAAAAGATTGTGAGCAGAAACAGAATGCAACAAACAACAAAGCGTGTGACAAAAGATACATTTAAAGCTAAGTCAACGGTATGAATATTATGCAGATGAAGACTGCTTTAATGCTATTTCATTTCATACTGTCATTAGGAACAACATCAGTTATGTACAAACTTGGGAAATGTAAGCAATGTATGCTCATGTTAATTTAGAGTCCTAAATAATGTGTAGTAATAGGCCTTTGGAAAATTATGAAACATTGGCTAAGGAATTCCTTTTTTGGGAACAAAGTACAGTTGAACCCTCATTATTATTTGTCTTTAGGTTGGTATATTCTTACAATAAATTTTGAAACCTCTCAAATTGGAGAGATATGAACTTTGAGCAGAAAATTTTGCTCAAGTATTCACATAATATCTCTGCTCTAATCTAAGGAAAGAATTACGAACTTTACAATACATGAATCATTAAAATAAAATAAATTTATATAGAAAATGCTTTAGTTCAGATCATTCACCAGATGTATTTCAGATCAATCATAAGCTTCAAGCTTCCTTTTCTGCCCTCTTTGGTCATGTGCTCACACTTAAACTGCGCATGCATGATATTCTCCTTCGAAAGCATGATGTAGCATGCAGCATGTAGATGGAGGGAATCCAAGGCAATGTTTCATATTTGTGCAGTGGATATTTAGATCAGATTTCATCCAGAGCCCCACTTATCTTCAGCTTGTGATGAGGCAGCATCCAAGAGGTTACAGTAGATGTGGTGTGACATGCCCACTTCCCACTACTTGCTTGAGCTCAGTGAACAGCCATGCACATTGTGGTTAGGATTCCCTTGAGAACACATTTGGTGCCATTCGTTCATACAGCGGCTAAAACGATAACATGCTCAGGAGATTAATATCATCAATTGTTTTGGTTTCAGACTAGTGTCATGTTATCCTAACTGCGAGGAAGGTGGTACTACACTTCTTGATGACCTGCATACCTTGCTGATGGTACATGATGCCCCTGTTGTAGTACTATAGTTGTAGTGTTGGCCATATTTATCTTGTGATATATATTGTTCATAAGTTGGTACCACACCCACTGCTACTTTCTTTTGTTAATGTACCTTTGGTATCTTGTAATGTTTGTGAATGAAGTTAAGTCTCCAGTAAACGTTAGATTTTGACGAGGGCGTTTCATTTCTTATCCGTTTTTACCTCGATGATCCAATGTGATTTCACAAAGGAAACAACAGGTTATGGGTCCAGAGTCTTCAAGCACTGCGCCGGACATCAATAAAACGGATTGGAGACTCAGAATACGAGTGAAGACAATAGGATAAGTGAAGATACGGACCTAAACGGCAAAGACGGCCATTTCTCGGTCCCACGTGCTGCATGGGATTTTGAAGAAAGGAAGTAAATAAGACGATATAATATTTCAAGATGTCAGAAGAAGTTTACCGAAGACGCATAGAACCTTTAAATGACGATAACTACACAATCTGGAAACATCGAGTAACGCTAACCCTAAGAAAGAGGAAGCAATGGGAAGCCGTGGAGCCCGGATATGATGGAGTAGAAGAGGATTGGACACCAGGTCAGATTCAAACAAATCTTGAAGCACTTAACTTTATTACCGAGAATATAGAAGATAAATATGTACCGTCGATAGCACATCTGACTACAGCTGCAGAAGTTTGGCA